CTCTTCTTAATGCACCCCAGGATCCCATTGGCCTTCTTGGCCACGAGGACACACTGCTGCCTCATGGGCAACTTATCATCCACCATGAGTTGGGTGTCCTTTGAGGAATCCCCATGCTTGCTAGATATTTGCATGCTATAAAACGCCCAAGAAATGATGCACATCTTCCAGGCCATCATCGTATCACACGCGTCTCGTTAGCTTCTTGGTGCCTGGTAAATTTTAGGCATTTTTAGGCCTTTATAAAATAGTGAGCTGCAGGGGCTGCAAGAAAAATGATGTGAGTTATCAACGATGAAAACGTATAGTCCATTCAGTGACGTGGACATCTGTGGACATTTTGAGCCCTTCTCATCTCATCCTGTAGTTGCTCTAGTGGGAGGCACGTTAGGGAAATTGTATTTGTTTCTCTCATGTGACAGGCAGGGCTTTTGGAGGGGGGCTGGTGCTTTACCTTTGGCAGAAGTGTATGTTCCAGTGTCCAGAGTGGCCTTCATGATAGCCGTGTTATAACACCTAAATAATTGTATTTCAATTCCCAGAATTTTGGAATAGTTGGTGGGATGGAGTTAGGCCTTCTGGAATTGACTTGGAGCTAAAGCAAAAGCTCTTTTTGGTGGGAAGAAGTTGAGCTCGTGGCCCTTTCACTGTTGATTCTGAGTCGCTTTGGTGGATTCCAGCACATCTTTGAGCCTTATTACACCAGCCTGGGATATAATTCCGTGATGGCTGAAGTCTTTGGGAAAGATGTGCAGCTTTCTAACTGTTTTTGAGAGGGAGACAGAGGCATCCAGGTCTGGTTTTGTTAAGGGAATATGGGAGCGCTTGGCTTGTCGTGTGCATCTTCCTTGGCATTATTTTCTTTATTTTCATATGTATGAATATAGAGAAAAGCTTGGAGTAATTCCCCAGTGATTCAAAGGTGTTCAGGTGACAGCATGGTGGTGGCTCTAGCCAGGACCTGTGCAGAGGTGAGGTTGAGCTGAGCAAAGGAAAAATCATTACCATGCCTTTTAATTCTCCTTTTTTTGTCTCTAACAGCAATGAAAAGCGGCGACGGGAACAGGAGAACAAATATTTAGAGGAGCTGGCGGAGCTGCTGTCTGCAAACATCGGGGACATCGACACCCTGAGTGTCAAACCCGACAAATGCAAGATCCTGAAGAAGACGGTTGATCAGATCCAGCAGATGAAGAGGTTGGAACAAGGTAAAGCTGCAGCCTCCCGACTTTCATTGTCTGGAAGCTTTAGAGTGCAAATCCCCTCCTGGTGGTTTCGGGCACTGAATTGCGATGAAAAACATGGCTTGGGGACAGCTCCGTTTGTTCCACTTTTCTGTCCCTGCTTCTGCTAAAGCGCCGATGTAAAAAGGTGACTTTGTGCTTGCGCTTGGAAAGGGCACCCGTGTTCCTGGGGCCACCCATCCAGCAGCACAAACGCGTGCCGGAGGGCACGTCACCGGGCTCGGTGCTCCTCGTTCCTCCCAAAGTTGTTCCGTAGGTGACAACGCAGGGAAATGCCTTTGAAACCTTCGGGTCCCTGGAGTCGTGTGAGCGAGAAGGATGCTGGAGGAGCCCCGTGAAGGTTAGAACATCCCCTGAGCATCGTCTCGGAGGCTGGCGCGTGCACGGCGCGGGGGCCAGCGCAAGCAGCCACGTGTTGCCTTTGCCGGAGCATCCAGCGCGAGCGGATGCCGGAGGATCCGTAAGCCCCATGGAGCCGGGACACGGATACCCGAGCGGAGGCCGGTTCAGCCCGGCCGTCCTGCAGGTCGGGGCGACGCTTTGGGGATTCGTTAGTTTGGGGATTCATTCGTTTTCTTGACGCTGCACAGTGGGGCTGAACATTAACAGGGATGAGCACTGCTTAAAAATGCTGTTCCCAGAGCTCTGCTCCGTAGCGCAGGCGGATCGAGCGCTGCACCAAATTATCGGAGAAGGAGCTGCACCTACAGCAGTTCTTCCCAGTGTTCCCGCAGCAGATTTTACATGAGGAGGTCGGAGAAATGTGTCTGAACACGGGAACATTTGTCCTGCGGGCAGAGACAATTTTCTGTGTTAGCTCTTACATCAGTTACTATGCAGAGAAGCGCTGCCCTCCCCGCGTCCTTCTGCTTCTCCTCCTCATCCTCTCCGTTTCCCGGCTGCACAACAGCCCCCC